ACTTCGTACACGACTAAGAATAGCCTGAGAGTGTCTCTGTTCCAGATTCGGGTTATTTTTTACGTTAGTAGGGACCGCTGGAGACACTGTCTGACGCGCCTGCCTCTGCGATCCGAGTTAATAAGCGGTCATCAAAGGTGACTGACCAAAAACACCCCGTATCGTTGCCTTTTCGGCATTTTCTGCATTGTTTCATGTATCAGTGCAATGGCTTCTGTAGAAACCTTGTTGTAGCTCACCTTCGTGGGAACAAAGATCCCTGTCAAACACTCCTTAGATTTTATGGTTGTTTGTTCTGGTTGAAAACGAGATTGTATTTTATAAAACTAATCATGGATGCTTAGCGTTGCAGTTTGGATTTTAACCGGAAAAACTTTCACCTCCATCACTAGGTCATGAAGGGAAGCGTTTCCTTGGTTTCGAAAATATAAAATAACGCAATTTGGCAAACGATGAGATGAGCAGATTTGCATGATGACTTGAGAACTTGCGGAGACTGTGATTTATTTAGTTGTTCATTTTTTTAAGGCTTTTCTTGATGACAAGCAAATTCCGTGTAAGTCCCGTTGCATATTGACCGACCCTGTTTACAGTGAAGAATCTGAAATGGTGACTGGTTAATAAAATGCTAGACAGTTTTCAGTGTGGAGCAGGGGTATTCATAATCATAGCATCATTTTAGGTTTGGGCTGGATGTTGACCAAGGATCTTTGGAACGAACTTGAGCCTAAATGGCCACAGAGTTTCTGGGATGACTGGATTCGAGCTTCAGAGCAGCGGAAGAATCGCGCCTGCATTCGTCCAGAAATATCGCGAACAGCAATGGCTTTGGAGGGCAAAATAGGCGTCAGCAAGTAAAGTTGTTAACATGAATGTCTTCACGAAGTGTTGCGTTTTACTTTTGATAACGATCAGCTTTCAGGGGCCAGTATTATGAAAAACATCTGAAGCACATAAAGCTTAACAAAGATGAAGATATAGTGGACTTTGAAAAACTTGATCTCAGTTATTTGCTAAAGGACACATATGATCAGCACTTTGTGCAAACGGTTTACTCCTCACCTGAACTGACGTTAGACGAGTTTGCCAAACTGGAACGTGAAAAGGTTGTTTCCATGTCATCCATCCGCTTCACGTACACTAACGCGAAAACCTTCAAGCGGTTAGCGACGAAATTTCAGCTGATGGATGATTTCAGAGTAAGTTGAACCTTTTCTGTTAATTTTGGGTTGTTTTCGTTTTTTCCTTTGTCATTTCTACTGTTTGTCTTTCACCGGTTCTGTTTTTATTTAGTAATTTTGTCATATTCCTCGCCAAAAAAACCCTGTCAGGTGGTGAGTAAAATTATCACGCGCACTCAGCGCACAGATTTCAATGACATTAACTGTTCACACTGAGCCGCCATGTTGACCTGAGCTTTTCACAGGCGCAGATCGCCCATTGACCTGCCCTAATTTTCTCTCCTTTGCATTGGGGAAAGTTGAAACATGTTCTTTACTTGAAGGAACAATTTCTCACCAAAAAGTTTTGCTCTGACATTTCTGTAAAAGCGAAAGAACTAACCTGTCTACCATATTTCTTGCTTGCAGCTGTGACAGCCACCAGATCAGTTGCCGCCAACATTTGCCGATGGCAAAATTTTCTTTCGGCCTACAATTTATAAATACGCACTGTTTGATCGATGTATCCGCGAGATAGCACTAGATTGTCCCTACAGGCCAGGAAACCATTTGTATTGGCTACAGTTGCATGGTATTAAGAAACCCGCGGAACAGACCGATGAACCTGTTATCGGTTAGCCTGCTGAATAGAACAGTATTTTGCTGGTTATCAGTTATTTTCAGTAGAGTTTGGTTTTTCTGTCTTTCAAATAGCACGAAAATTAGGGTACGATTCGAATAACGGGAAGAATTATGAACAAGCCAATTATCTAACTTTATCCAGTTTTCATGTTGATTTAACTGCTTGTCTGATTAAATCTGCTTCGGTTCAAGCGCTCTAGTATCATGGAGCCGAGGTCTGCCAAAATGACCTCCAGCATTTGTATGAACAGTAACAAGTTGAGCTTATCCACGTAAACCGAGGAACTGGAATTTTGCTTACGACACGTAAGGCTCCCCACATTCCAGCCGCGGTGTCTCCACTGAACAGCGGATAACGACAAAAGTATGTCATTGTATGACAGAGCTAAGCACCGTAAAGCAAAGTTTATAATTTTGAGCTGATACAGTGACCGTAAAGGAATGTCGTAAAACCTGAAACGAGCGGTTAGCGAATCTCCGGCAACCAAAAATAACAGCGGTTCTTATGCATTTAAAGGCAGTTAACGTCTTGCGAGGATACTTTGATTTAAATACGACTAATAAGGTTGGTGTTACCGTTCGCACTGATCCTCAAAGAGAGCGAAATGCATGAAATCTGAATCTGAAAATTTTCATTATAGCATCTACCTTCTAAACAAATAAAGGTGACTTACGGGCGATAAGAACAGAAGGTCTGGACAATACTTGGTATAAGTGGACTTATCACCCACTGTACCGTTTGGATGGTCAAACGATGTAGTAGCCGATGTATTAACGTTCCCCGTAGTTTTGCATTCACTTCATCTAAACAGAGGATGGCATTTTTGTTGTTAATGTAACATGCGTAAAGGAACGGCTCCCCTCCTGTAATGTGTACCGAGCAGCCATCTTAAGGTCGAAAAGAAACAAAGATACGATGTAAATCGAAGACGATTCGTAGTTCAGACGCGAGACAGGTAGCGTTGAACAAATGTGGAATGTTTCTGCTTTTTTGCATAATTATTTTCAGTAACATTCCATGCTTTTCTTTGTTCAGTGTTCTTTTAAATGAGATCAATACGAAGTACTGTTCTGTTTGATTGATAGTTATCTAACTTCGCCCTAAATTTTATTCGCTTCTACGGTATTTTATTTCGTGGTCTCTTTTGTATGTATTTTTCTCTATTTTATCTTTGCAATGTATGTTTTAGGCCGGTGTTCCACGAACCGCATATCGCGGAGTTGTGACTTTCTACAATGGTAAAATAAGAATATATATCAGCCCACCTGGTGACTGGAAAACTTACAACGAATCAATGAAGTGACAAGTCGTAAATTTTTTCGGTCAGGTCTTTCGATTCATTTTTGTTTTGCGTTATTGGGCTGGTGACACTGGCTATATTTTGGCTGGGAACATTTCTTGTTGAATCTTGTCATTTTTACTGAAGCCATTTGTTTCTACAAATTGTTTAAGTCGTGGGAGCTGGATGTTCATGCGAAATAAATTTTTTTCGCGCAAGGTTCAAGAATGCCTTCTCTGCATCCTAGTCATCTGCGCTTATTAATCGAACGATTGTTGCAAATTTTATGTACACAATTATTTTGCCTCTGCGGCCAACTTTTCATTTGGTATTTGTAATTTTAGTGAATATTTGAATGAAGACATTCAAACAAAGTCAAGTTTGAGATATTTCAGACCACCGATGCTTGTAAGTACAGATAAAGTTACCAAAGGCGCACATTAGCTAACAACCAACCGCGAAACTGTATATCTCAATTTTAATTTCCATAACCATACAGAAAATAGATACATCGTAGTTACCAACCTTATTACACAGAAGGTTCCTAACGGCTGCATTAAACATTTCAGAAAGCAAGAAATAAAACAACTAGCGATTTAATTCATTACTGATATCGTAAACCGTGAAGTAATGAGTTCTAAATCAGATCATAACAAAAGGATAACAAAACAAATTATTAAAAACAAAGCTATGCAATTCGTCTTTATGATTTAAATTTGACTGTAACGTCAAAGAATACTAAATATAATGTCAATAAGTGCATGATGGAAAATAGTATTAAATAAGGCATCAATTATCCGACTGACCATATTTTTTGCGTTGAATATAAACTGCTAGTGTAACTGCTGCTGGTCATCTGGCGCAACCCCGTATTGCAGATAGAGAAACGATCTTCAGATATAGAATTTGGCTGCATGAAACAAGCAGTTGCGGGCAGGCGGCAGTGAGCCTACCAGCAGTGTCTGGGTGCGAGATCGACAAGTTCGATCCTTAGAGGAAAAGTCACAGTGCACC